GATAGAACAAGCAAATTTTAAAATTAAACATACAAATTAAAATAAAATTGAATATGATCAAGGACAACATACATAGATCATAGGGTACAGTCCATGTTTATAAATAACAAATCTAGCTATAAACATCATAGTACAACATATATTTATGTCATACCATGTGCATATAAGATGATATATCACGGGAAGTTTCTTTATTTGATGGTGAAATAAGAAATAACCGAATGTATGTACAAAACAACTAGAAAAACAAATTGCAATTTCTTACCAAATTAGCCGGTGAGCAACATTTGCTCAAGTTTTGGTGTGTCCTTAAATTTCTTGGTTAGCCCATTACATGTGTATTGTATAAAAAATTATAAATGCATGCAATTTTATTAATAATATTTTACTAAGTCTAAGTTTTGGGCATGTAACAAAAGTCTGGCCTATGACAATGACCAAATTGTTGTTCAAAGGGTAATCTCACGCCATTTTGAATAATTTTAATCTCATTTCTCCTTATAGTATGACGTTTTCATGCCTCCTTATGGCATGATGATGCTTTTTAAAAAGCTTTTCCACATATGGTTTCCTGTAAATTTAATCTTATTTGATGTCGATTTTTCAGATGTGTGATGTTTTGATAAAGTGTTACTTTAAGTTGAATAGAAATTAGTACATAATATACACATGTATAGAAAAAATGGCTACAAATTTATTTGAGGGAAAGAAGTACTATATGCACAAGGTTCATCATGAGATTCATGTGTACGAAATGTGGCTTTTTTTTTTCTAGAAAAAATTTGAAGCAATTGGTATCAAAGATTCATTGTTATTTTTCTTACAAGTCTTATAGTTATACTAATTGATAAAAGATTGATTGGAGTTACCTATTAAACTTCACATATATGCTAGTCATCAATCCTTCCTATTCTTCTTTGGTGTCGGATTATTTTCACTAGATGTGAATTGTGTTAAACTTTCAAATCATAAATTTATTCTGATTCCTCCGTCCCCCTTTATTTGCTCCAGTGAAAGAGGGTTACATTTTTTTATTTTGGCTAAAAGGAATTGATGAGAGAAAAAGTGGTGGTTTGATGTAATGGTTGTAAGAGTAAAATAGTAAATGTATTGTCAATTTGTAACTACAACTAAAAGTATTATGAAACTCAACGGGACAAACTGAAGAGGAAAATAAGGCATATTAAGAGATAGAGGGAGTATATTAGTGATATTGGAGCTCAAATTAGGACACCTAAAGCACCAAATAGAGGACAGAGGAAAATTAAGTAAAGGAAAGGGTAAAAGTGTCAATATGAAGTGTAGTTTAAGTAAAATTTTTGTGTTGCATAGCAATTCACTAAAGATATAGAGTACATTTTAGTACAAAGACCAAATTATTCTTTAACCTTTTATGAGTTACTGATTGGCTACTATTTGTGATTTTGATATGATAAAAATTAACACATATCACTAATTTTGCTGAAAATACCGGGTACATAATTACTATTGATTTCCCTATCAAGAACGTAACAAAAATACATTTGGAAAAACAAAAAGAGGTCGATCAACCAAGTAGATGTTCAAATAGAAATTGTTATGCTAATAAAATTGATAATATTTTGGAATTTTTTTTCTTTTAAGAAGATTTAAAATGGAGTTGGGTATGGACTTTGTCACCAAACGTTGACTAGAATGACAAAAGCAAATAGACATGAGATGGAAAAGGATAGCGCCGATGTAATTGGGCCATAATAGTATGGATTCGATTCATACTGGGCTGTTGGCTAACTTGTGGAATTACGAATCAGGACTACCCAACTCATACGCTAACACAACACTGAAAGCAACTCCTAACGAAGTAACGATTGGTCCATTCCTCTTTTTTTGTACTTTTTTTTTCTGGTCAATACAGTGAATACACTACACTTTCAACTCCTATTTTACAAAAAAAAAATTCTTAGTTCACTATGATTTAAAATTATGATAATTGGTGAACTTTGTAGGAAATTTCGTTTTACCATTTTGTATATTCTTATAAATGAGCATTGTATTCAAACATCAATTATAAAGAGGTCGAATTGTATTTGAACTTACACTCATTATTATAGAGAAAATGATCTTCGTATTGACAATAATATTACTTGTACCATGTGGAGTATTGTAGAGAATGGAGATAGAGTTATCACCTTAAAAATCAATCACTTTATTTATTTTTTATTTTATTTTTTTTGACAACAGCAAAACACAAATAATAAGCAAATTGCATAGTTAATAAATTGAATAAGGAAATTATCCTTTTGTTATTGGTAGGCTGCCTCATTTTACATAATATTGAATAGTTAACAAGCAGTATGAAGTATCAAAAAATTACTCTATATTAAGTAAAACTTAAAATATTGTCTCTATCTCTAAATAAAACTTTCATTCTATCCACAAACCTTGTCCTTATACAAAAAAAATTCCTTTTACCTTTATATATTTCTTTATTCATTTTTAATTGATTAAACTCCATTATTTAATCTTTTATCCACTTCTAATTAACTCCACCTAACTATTCAAACTGCAATATCTTATTAATTTACTTTCGAAACAGATGAGAAAAAAGCAATGAGATTTATAATTGGAAAAGGAAGGAGTAATCTTTTTTTTTTTTTTTTCAATTAGTGATTTCTTTAATTGAAAGTAATTTTAGAGATTTTTTTTATACCAAATTAAATTGATTTTAATTGAATTTTTTCAAAGATTCTAGAGCAATATATACTATTAGATTTGAATATAGATTTGTTCAATTGTAAATTTTTTAACGACTAACATGGCTGCTAGGAAATTTGATTAAATTTATTATTCGTCATTTTCTTATTGATTTTTTGAGAATATTTTTGTACATGAAAATAATGTTTTAGTGGTCCACTAATAAATAATTATGCTTCATAATTCGCCTACATATTATGCCCCTGGGCGGCTGGACCGGGATAAATCGGTCTCCTATAATCCTATTTTATACAAATTCTTCAAAAAGGCAGTTGTACGTTAATGTATTATAAAACGGAATAAAGTTATGTTAAAAGTACTTAAAGTTACCCTTTATATGCAAAAGTTATTATTTTTCTATTAATAAATTTTATCTTACAAAAAAACTTATAATGTATTAGATTAATCATATTAGTTTTTATAATATATGACCACGTATTTATAAGAAATTACACATTAAAACAAAATTCAAAGCAACGATAAATTAAAAGTTACCCTTTAAGTGGTTAAAGTTACCATAAAAATAGTTAAAGTTACGCTCAATTGATCGTTTTACAATAAAATTAATATACACCCGTTGTACACAAGACTTATTCCCTATTTTATACACGTTGGCCTATAATAAGTTTGAAAAATGGTATGAAAAAGTGCATTGCGGTTATGTTTAGTTAGCAAGAAATACCCACGTTTACAGCACTAGCTTTTAGTGTTTTGAGTTATTCAAATCATTATTTAGTAAAAAACATTAGTTTTCGGCAATGTAATAGTGGGAGTAGAGTTTAGTGATTGGAATATCTTTTGTGAAAAAGTAGTTAATATCATTAGTTTTTGTGAAAAGGTAGGTAGCTGTTGGAAATTTTCTTCTATATTTTTAGAATTTTAAAACTTATAGCTAGTCAACAGCTAATTTATCAAACACTCATACTTAATTATTTATTTTAGTTAGCATGGTCCCTTAGTCTCTCTCCTTTTGTTTCTTAATAAATGTCCTGTTTTCTTAAAAGAAAAATTTAAAATTTGCCTCATTACATGTTTAGCTAGTATGGTCTCTAAATCTATCTTTAATCTATTTTCTACTTCTTACCTTCTAATTCAATACAACTTATAAAAAGTACTGGTACTCCATAAGAGTTAAATTTAAGACAAATATTAAGAGATAGAGAGAGTACAAGATATTGTATTGGGTACATCAAATTTCCATACAAATTGCGGCGTGCAACTTCTAGAACTCAATATTTTCCTACTACAATGACAAAATAGACTAGCACAAGATAGCAAATACGAGTATGTCATGACTGAATAAAGTTGTGCGATGAACAGTATAACCTCTCTTAGCAACTACAAGGCCTTTCAAAAAAAAAAAAAAAAGTTCCTATACATACAACTGGGCAAAACACACTAAATAATATGAACTACTCCATATGATTTAATAATTTGTGGGTTTAGTGATGATGTCATTGGTTATTTTACGTTATTAGTCGCTACTCCCTCCATCCCAAAATATCTGAAATGTTAGACTTTTTTCAATATTATGTATTAGCTTTGAGCATAATTTTTTATTAACATAATAAAATATATTTTATCATAAAATATGTTGTTAGATAGGTATTAATATAAAGTTTTATAATATAATATCTAAAATAATTTTCATTAAAATATAATTATATATATAAAAATAAAACCAAACTAGTGCATTGGCATGTGTGCAATGTCACCTATATCAAATATGTTGGAACGATTAGAGTAATTCTCAAAACTATATATCCTATTATCTTTTTACTTTTTTTTTTTTTTTGAGGATATAGGAGATGGAGGGATGGTTAGTCCCTCTACCCCCCAAGTGTTGGGGTTCGATCCTCATCCCTCATTCCTATGATGGGATGGGGGGACTCTATGTATCTTACTGATTAAAAGACAGGGTCATATCATGGTTGGGAGTTGCTTGGTATTATTTGTACATTATTGGTCACATGTCAATGAAACATAACGGGGTTAGTCATTACGCTTCATAGTGAAAATGTTTTTTTTTTTTTTGTAACTAAACATTTCAGATCCTTGACTACATTTTTCTCCGACCGCAACAAACATAAGCTAGTGGCCGGCCGGGGATCCTGCTTAGAGACGGAGAGCCACTAGCTACAAAAATCTTATAAACATTATTACAAAATATCAGCTTAAATTTAGAGCTGAAAAACATAAAAAAGGAAAAGAAGTAAACGTTTAAGCATTTGCAGATCACATAATATGCATATCATACAACTCTGAAGTCAGATTTGTAGCCTTTGAAGTATAGCATTGGTTAAGCCTTCTTGAGTTCCAATGAATCCATTGCCTTCAGGCGGCCGCTTAACAACAACATTCTGAAGCACAAATCCATCCACATCCACATTAGATATTGTAGCATTGGAAATTACAAGATTCAGATCTCTTAACACATTCATCAATTTTGCTGCAGGATAGTCCAAACCCGACGATTGAGCTTGGACTATCATTTCTGCCCCAAGCAGTTTCACCTCAACCTTCAGTTGCATATTAGTATTCACCATAGCAGCCAACTGAGGAACTGGAACTGTAGGATTTTGATCTCCAGGTTGTTGAAGATGCTGATTATAAAGTAAGGAATTGACTGCAGGGTTATTTTGGCGTTCTGGTTGGTGAAGGTTCTGATCCTGTAAGTGAGCAACTGTAGGAATTCTGTTCTGCAGCACTCCTAAATTGTCCTCCAATAAACTTACTCGGGACTTAAGCTTGTTTATATAATCGACGGCATCTGAAAGCAGGGATGCTCTGTCCATCTTTGAGACATTAGGAACTACAGCGCGTAATGTACACAAACGCTGGCTTAGTCTGTCTCGCCTTTTCCTTTCTGCCTCAGCAGGGCTGCTCCGCGGCACTGCAGTTGCAGGTGCTGATCTTCTATTGCTATTGCGAGAGGTAATGTTCATGTTTCCATCACCTCCAGCACCAAATATGGAATAAGTGAGGTCAATTAAGCTCCTATCCTCTTTGATCACATCCAAAGATCCGACTTCAATGACACCACCTGGACTAATTGGTAAGAATACCAGGGTCTGAATGTTGTTCTGTCTGGCTTCCCAAGCCCTTTCGCACCTCGAGTAATTGAGCTTCCCATCGACATCAACAAGCCACAAGTGTGTTCCTGAACTCATGAGCTGCCCAATAACAGAATTGGTGTCTTCTATGTCTAGGAACTTGTGTAACGAAGTTGTGTAAAACCTTTCTGACATTTTCATCTCATCCACTTCTTGAATTTGTGAAACATCCTGCTGCTGCTGATGCTGCTGCCGATTTCCTGGCTTACTGCTGTGCATCAGATAACCATCCGAACATGCTAAAACACGGCGATTGTTGTAGGCAGAGTCATTGCTGATAGATGACAATTGCCAATTTATCGCGTACAACCACCCTGGCTTACTCTTCACTATAATTTGAAGGCAGTATTTGAGTGATGTTGATGAAATCTTGGGCTGTAAATTCAGGCTGAGCGATTGAAATGGTAAAATCGCGTCTTCCATTGCCTATATTAGCTTAATGTAACAACCTCTATTTAGCTAGCTAGTAGCACCTAAAACTCGATCTTAGATCACACGAACTCCTTAAGAGATAGGACCATAATGACTTACTGAGTAATGGTAGGGAATGGGTACGATCAGGGGCGGCTGCGGCCTAAACAACAGTCAAGATTGAGCAGGACATATACACTATAGAATTGATTAGCTTATTGAAGAAGATTAAAAAAAATGGGCATTATGCATGGACTGTCTTTGTGCATAGATTCATTGAAACTAGTTTGTTTAAGTCGTTGTCAACATGTCACCATGTCTTAATTAAGAATTTTTAATTTCCTAGTACATTCCAATTCATAAGAATTTTCTTTGTTATGAACGTGTCATTTTCTTTGTTTAAATATTTAAATTAATTTTGGTTCCATCTTTATCCGACTAGTTTAATTTCTACATCAAGAACAGTGAGATTATTTGTGCCCACATTAGAAGCTAGGCTAAGCTAAACCCCTTGTAGTAAACAACTTTTTGCGATATATAGTTCAAATGAAGTAAATTAAGAGTCTACTAGTGTTACTTATTTCAAGAAATAAAAAAAGTTTACATAAATTCTGGTAAAGTTTATTAAGTTTAGGAGATACTAGTATACAAATATACAATAAATCGAAATGAAAATTCAATTTATATCTAAATTTAGTTTATTGCTAAGGTTGAATAAATTCTCATACATAAAAGTCAAGTGAGGGTGTACTATATTTATTGGCCTGAATTTCAATATTGAATTATTATATGTTATTAGATTATTTTGGTTGTAATATGAACTTGGGTGGTCATTATCAACTAATCCTTATTAGAACCTATTTTTTCTAAATTAATCTTATCCGAAATTATCAAAATTTATTTATTTTCTTGAAATAAGTGCTAAAAAGGTGAACAAAACAGACATTAAATTTCTTTTTTTTATTTAAGAAAAAAAAAAAGGACCCAAATACACGTAATTCTAAATGATACACATGTACAATGGATATTATAATTTTATTTAAAGTTAAGATATTTTGATAACACCATGCACCAATACATAAGGTTATTCTTGTTAAAGTTTCAATGGAAAGGGGAAACAAACAAACAAACTTGCTTCATTTGCTAACCAATAGATTTTTATTTATTTTTATTTTTTTAATTTGTTCTTAGAAAGAGGCACAAATGAATGTACTATATACTCCGTACATTATTTGATCACGTATTTTAGATATAACCCTCAATCTGTTATCTAACAAGCCAGTTAACATCCACGCTAGACATAATTGATCCACGGAAGTCTTATACTCCTTAAATTATTATTTTTTTAGGAAAACTTCTTAAAACTTTTGGACTTGAATGATTTGACAAAAACAAAATAAATAAATAAATAAATAAATTCCTGATGCTAAAATAATTAAAATATACTTCATATTTAGATATTTTAGCAAAAACCGCTACTTTATTAGGAAGTATAGTTGGGATGGTTGAAATGTAGATTAGTACTTACTTAATAAGTCCATATTCGTTGCATTACGAAGCATTAACCAAAAGCAGAGTCACCATTAAGGCCTTGACCCTAAAACAGGTTGTTTCGCTGTTGAGTTGATTCTACGTCAGTCTACATACGCCCAAGTAAAGTCTTGGCAATAATCTAATTGAACAAATATTGACGTCAATTTCATCTCCTGATATTGTTGATTAATTAAAACGTTGAATTCACTTTGTAAACCCTACATATTTTACCACTGTGGAAAAAAAAGCCTTGATTGAGTAATTTGCTAATGCTCTTTTTGCATGTTATAATTGTTATAGGAATATAGGATAGCAAGTCACATAAAAAAGAACAATTTTTAGTGTACCATCAAGACTTAGAAAAGGAAATGTAGCAAATAAATTAAAAGCCTTGATTTTCAATTGTTATGGACATTTAAGAACACTTGAGGGAAACCAACACCCGGGCCCACGCACGAACTATAGATAAAGTGCTTTAAGATATGAAAATGCTAAAGATTTTAGGCTTAGACAATAGAAAATAAGTAGTAGTTAATAAAATATGATGTGGATGAACGAAATATTGTTAATTCGGAAACTAGATACTACTTCTAACTTCTTGTATGTTAGCCTTCTTGTGGACTGTTGTTATCGTTGATTATGCTTACATGTTATTTCTCAATTGATTTGGTATGTTGTTAGTATATGTTTTTCAAACATCCGATTGAAATTACTTAAATTAATTAATTTATGAAAGAAATCAAACGTTTTTGTTCAGTATATAACCAAGGACATTTTCTCTTCTTTGGTCGCTACCATATACTACGTAGATTATACGTTTATTTGACATCAAAAACAGAAATCATGCCAGTTATTAATGCAGTGTATCGCATAAATCGAAAGCATTGTTGAAGGAAATGGCAACAGAAAATACGAGAGCAGATCATTATTGGCATATACATACTGTGTATGATTAATGATATGTATAACAGTAAATTAAAGATTACTTTTGTGTTGTCTAATTGGGATGAATACGAAGAACATCTGGACCTCCCTACCACAATAGTTGATTAAGAATCGTAGGGGGGTGTCAATGGTTCATTCATCATTATAATTTTTTTGAAATTTTCATCATTTGGGTCTTAAATCTATGTCATTCTTGGAGGACGTGATTATAAAAAAACTCGTGCACGTGTTAATGAATTAGGTGGATCATGAATGGAAAACCTTTTTCATTTCACCATAACTATAATTTTTAGGGTAGAAAAAATAAAATTTAGATGAGAGCCAATAAATTTTGACGAGAATACTCAATAACGTACGTCCAATTATAACTTAGACTATGTTCGGATCGGGATTACCAAGCTTGATAACTAAGGTGTAATTTCAATGAAAGAAAAAAAGGAAACAAAAAAAAATACATAATATTCTGAATTTTAGGAAACCTTCACTATAAGTCTTGGTGAGCCCTATTATATTTAGGGATGAACATCACTAAATTTTACTATGAAGGAAAATTTTTCTACATATTCCGATTAACTTATGAAGATAGCTAAAAACCATAATATCATGACATAAAATTATAATATATAGTTTAATTGAAGGAGCGATTCAAGAAGCCATGCATGCATATATTACAAAAAAATTGTTACAATCAATACTGCAGACTCTCGCGAATAGCATTAGTTAAGCTTTCTTGAGTAGTAATTAATTCATCAGGATACAATGGCATCTTAGCAATAATATTCTGAAATACAACCTCATTCACATGTGATATAGTTGCATAACAGATTTCCAAACGTAGCTCTTTCAACACATTCATAATTCTTGCTTCCGGATGATCCAAACCCGTCGTTTGAACTCGAATTACCACTTCCTTTCCTATCGATTTCACCTCAACTTCAATCTCAATTGGCCATCCCTTAGTAGTAGGATGATGAAGAAGCAAAGCATGTAAATGTGGGGAAAAATTATTAGTCGTAGTACTCACTGAAGTACTTACAGACGGTAGCTCTTGAAGTTTTTCTTCTAGATTTTTTACAGCAGATTTAAGCTCGTTGATGTATGTAACTGCATCTGATAGCAAAGATGCTTTATCCATCTTTGAGACATAAGGGACTACTGCACGTAACGCGTAGAAACGTTGATTGAGCTTGTATCTCCTTTGCTTCTCTGCCTCTACATGCGCAGCTTTGCTGTCACCTCTGCTGCAGGCAACACTACTACCATTACCATTGAATATTGAGAAGGCGAGCTCGATTAAGCTCCTGTCTTCTTTGATCTCATCCAAGGATCCGATTTCAATGATTCCACCTGAGGCAACTGGTACAAACACCAGGGTTCGAACATAGTGCTGCAAAGCCTCCCTCGCCCTCTCACAACCTGAGCTGTCGATCAGCCACAGGTAAGACCCTGAACTCATGGCTTCCCCAATTACAAGATTGTAATTGTCCTCAATAACTAGTTCTTTTCCTATTGAATCTGCATAAAACCATTCTGCATCTGACATCATAACAATCTCCTCATTTAGGCTGCTCCTTATGGAGTAGCTTCTCAAATAACCATCAGAGCACGCTAACACACGGCGGCTACTGATGCTGCTAGACGCCGCTGTTGTCATTATGTTCTCAACACCGGGTGTCATTTGCCATAACATAGCATATAACAACCCTTGTTTGCTCTCTACTATAGTTTGGAGGCGTTGTTTAAAGGACATTGATGGAAAGTTTGTTTGTGGATTAAAATTTAGGCAATTAGGAGAGGATGAATTATTAGGAGGAGATCTAGTGCGTGGTGCCATAATAATAATCTTAATAATATTAGGATCAAATAATAATAGATCTAATAATGATGGAATTAAGGAAATTTAATTACTTACATATAGCGAGATAGATATAGAATTGTAAATCAAATAGGACTCTTAAATGATATAATGATGAATTATTGAAGGCATGAAATATATAGTTCGTATGTATTTATATGGATGCATGCACCAAGAAATATGTGAATAATTTTCTCGTCTTCACACTTGAATTTTACCTAGTATTCATATTGTTGACTGATGATCCAAGTATATTATTTATTGACTAGACGATAATTGTTACTTGTGTAGTCATTATTCCATGCAATCATGCATGATCATGTCTCCATTGACACTATAGTATAGTCGTAGTTCCCTTCTCAATCTATAGGGGGTCTCTTTTCAAATTAGTATCAAAATTTTGTTAACCTGTTAATCAGGTAAATTGAGCCAGTTGTCAACATCTTATTTGTTTAATAATTATCATTATTATAAATTTTTTTTTTAGAAAAAAAACCCACATGCTCTTAAACTTAAATTCCTACCACCACCTTCTGATCTCACCACATACCCAACCTAGTCCTTCCACTAAAACCACCTTTACATCCACCCCCCAGCCACCAAAAATATCTAATGAATCACACTACTAGAAAAGAGGCCATTTTCGACGGAAAAATTCCGTCGGAATAACCTGGAATTCCGTCGGAAAACCCGTTTCAGACTGAAATTCCATCGGAACCGGTTGTTGAAAAACCTTTGTAGGAAAAGCGACCTTTTCCGACGAAATTCCTTCAGAACTGTTTCGTCAGAAGTGGAATTTCGGCACTGGAAAAGTCCGTCGGAAATTTCCGACGAAATACAAATCCGTCGGAAACTGGTATATTGAAATTAAAAAAAAAAACACGTCGCGCCACCACCGGCACGGCGTATCATTACCTCAGAACACCACCAGCCACTTTAACCCACCACCGCCACAACCCACAGCCGAAACCCCTAACCACTTAACCCACAACCACCGAAACCCACTTTAACCCACAACCCAGATCCACTACAACCCACAACCACTTTAACCCACCACCGTCGAAACCCCTACAACCCACGACGACCCAGATCCACCACTACAACCCACAACCCACTACCTAAAACCCCTAACCCACAACCCACTAACCGAAACCCCTAACCCACAAACACCAACAACCCACCACCACCACCACCGAACCCTAACCAAAAACTACCCAGATCCACCAACCACCACCACTAACCCAGACCCGCCTAACTGCAATACCCACTAACCGAAACCCCTAATCCACAACCCACTAACTGAAACCCCTAACCCACAAAAACCAACAACCCGCACCCACTACCACTGCAATTTAATCATACCACCATAAAAATAGAAAAGAAAAAAAAAATCCAAACCAAATTAAAAGATAAAAAAGAAGACATACCTCATAATCTCACATTCTACCGGAAAGACGGCGAATTCGGGTTTCAAAGGTCAAATTCGACCATGAAAACTCTAGATCTAGAGTTTTCATGGTCGAATTTGACATGAAAAACCTTTAGTTGATGGTGTTCGAAGTGTAAACCTCGACTTTGGTGTTCGTTGATGGTGTTCGTTCGTTGAGAAATGGCGGAGAGTGAAAGGGGAGAAGAAATCGAAGAGGAGAGTGAAAGGGGAGAAGAAATTGAAATATGAGTGAAAGGGCGGAGAAAAGAACAGGAAAGGAGAGAAAGTGAGACTAAGAAGAGGAGAGAGAAATGGCGAAGAAGAGAAACAGATAGGAGAGAGAATTCTGAAAGGTGAGAGAAAGGGAAAAGATGAAGAGAGAGGGGGAAACAAGGGGGTGGAGGCTCTCATAAAATTTAGGGTTTAGATTTTTTTTTTTAAATGTTCCGACGGAAATTTGAGGGAAAATCCGTCGAAAATTTCCGACGGAATTTAATTTAGAATTCCGATGGAAAAAATCCGTCGAAACTTTTCGATGGAGTTAAAATTCGTCGGAAATTACTTATTTTCCGACGGTTTTTTAGCTCCGTAGGAAATTTCCGACAGAATATTTTAATTCATCGGAATTCCGTCGAAAATTTCGGTTAAGTGTCCGTCGGAAATCGACTGTTTTATAGTAGTGTCAACATCAAGCACCACCAACATCAATCACACCAACGATTGTTGAACAGGAAGAGGAGAGAGAACAGAGGCGATTTGGGAGAGGGTAGAGGAACAAAGCGGTTGGAGAAGGAGGAGATGAAGTGGGATGCGCCGAAGGGGGGGAGATGCGGTTGATGGCGGATTGGCGGGGTAGAAAATGGGATATAGGTGGGGTTAGGTGGTTAAGGTGGGGGCGCCGTAGGTTGAGGGATGGGAGAGGAGGTGGGTGATCAGGATGTGGTGGATGGGGTTGTTGTTATGGTACGTCGGTGGTGGTGTGGCAGTGAGGAGGTGGTGGGTCCATGGTGGTCGCGAGATTTGGGGGTGGTGGTTGACTGGTTGTGGCTATGGAAGGGGTTGAGGTTGTAGGTGAGTGGTGGGTGACAATAATAAACTAAATAAATAAATAAATGTAAAGTTAATTATTCTCTTATAAAAAAAAAAAGAAAGAAAGAAAAACTTTACCAGTATTACAGGTTGTAGGTAAGGGTTGTTGGCTGGTTCACTTGGCTTTTTAAACCACTTGAAATGTATGACCGTTTATAATGGCTTTTGAAATTATTGGTTGTTTAAGTTGACTGTTTTAAAAAGTGTTTAATAAATTTAGTTGGTGGTTGTTGGCTGTTTATTAGTTATTGTGGGCCAACAAGCCAACAAGCCAAAAGCTAACAAAAAAGCTACTCATAACAGCTTTTTCATTTTCACTTAAAAGCCAGCTTTTTCGCTGAATGAAAAGCCAACTACCAAACTTTTTTTTTGGCTGTTTAACCACATAAAAAAAGCCAAAATTCAAAAGCTAACCAAAAAGCCATTTACCAAACATGGCCATAATAAGATATCTTGTTAATTTATATTTTCACAATTTCTGACTATTATTAGAGAATTAAAGAGTTAGAATAATGTATTATCAAGCGTGGGATCCAAAATATTTTCACAAAAATTTTAGCCACCATTGTAGTTGTTTTAAATCATACGGAGTATATAACTGTTGAATTTTTAAAATGTAATCTAGCTCACTCGTTAAATTTATAATTCCACTAAAAAAAATCTTTGGTTTTTCAACCATTTACATCGATGTTCCTATGCAAAGTGCTAGGGCCTCCATTATGTCCACGAAAGAAACGCTGGTTTCTCGTGACCCACAAGCCCCATAAGGTTGCAATAAAAGTGGATATTGTTGAACTATGGATCCCATCCCGACTATAGAAAAGCAAGATATAAGTTTGAATTCATTCTCGAAGTGAAATGGAGATGGATTCATTAGTTGTATGGCCATCAATTACATGGGCATTACTCCACGCAAATCTAGCCAAATCGCAGAACCTAAAGATGTGTTGTGAGTTCTCATTTTCCATACCACAATAGTCACATAGAACATTCATTTGCATACCTCGCTGCTGTAACTTCTCTTTTGTAGGAATGGTGTCATAGAAAAGTTTCCATATAAACATACTCAATTTTGGCGGAATCTGAAGTCTCCAAATGATTTTAACGAAATCAAAGGTTTCCTTGCTACGGTCTGGTTCTTGATTTTTTGCTTTTTGTGATAAAAAAATCATACCCAGTTTTAACCGTAAGCTTCCCTGAGGAATGATTAGCCCAGTGCATGAAGTCCTCCGCCCTAGTCTTTGGAAGTTCCATCCCTAAAATTTCCTGTGCGTTGTACCACTCAAATTTCTCTCTAATAAATGAAGCCTTCCATGAACAAGAATTGGGGTCAATAAAGTCTTTGACCGTCCATCTCATACTGTCACATAAAGTCTGATTCAATTTGACCACTGGCACTTTCCCATTAACCCATTTGCTACTACAAACAGGAATATTATCACCATTCCCAATCTTCCAGGCAAAACCTGGTTGGAAACGGTTGGCAACTTGCTAGAAACCTCTGCGAGCATAAGAAATAGGCCCAAAATCAAATACTTATTAGTCAATTTAATAAACACCGTAGATTTGTACTAAAAAAATTGAAAATGTAATGTTATGATTTAAACATTGTATGTAACGGCTACAAAAATTATGTAGTTATTGTAAAGTTGTTTATATATAAGAGATAACATGTAATTAACAATTAATTATATATGTTAATCTTTGATCAATATATATGAGTAATCTTTTACGGATTGGGAGAGTGGCGTATTTATTAGTATAAGATTGGCCAGTGTCCTGGCTTCCGGCCAAGCTATGTGACTTATGTTGTGACGAAGCAAGAACAACGTCAGCACACGTGTAATGTAGGAAATACGTAGGCAGTAATTATTGAATGTTTAAAACGTGAAATGTATGCTAACTTACTATTTGATCGGCTGTTATTGTTGATTGTTGAAATTAGGGGCCAAATTTTATGATGACTCCGTGTTTCTATCAGATGGCAGCATAATACCATCATGAACGACAGGGAAAAACAGAAGGTTTGTGCTAAATTCCAATTTCCAATATCCTGTTTTCTTTCAATTTCGTCAAAATAATCAAAAGATGCTTATGAACAAACAACTTGGGCATACGCCGTTGTATATACTTGTCATACCAACGTGCTTTATGCTCAAGTAAGTCGTGCACTCGTACTTTATTCGAATAGGTTAAGAAAAAGTTATGTCGGGTTCATAGGATCGATCATTCAAAAATAAAGCTCATGCATAGCATGGACCATAACCAAGTGTTAGACAAACTGAATTAAGCATTAAATATTGCAATAATTATTTATGATAGTTGTAAAAAAGACAAATATATTTAAAGCTTTATTAAATTCCACCTTGCCTCTTCTTTCTTTTGCAAGCGAGTACGAAAGTTCCCTTCAAAAAAAAAAAAAAAAAAAAGCGAGTAGGAAAGTTACTCAAGCACAAGACTGGAGCCCACATATAAAATATGGACAACTCAATCATCACCAACGTAAGAGCACTTACAATGGTGGGCAAAATAAAATGTTCATGGGCCTTTTTGTGGGCATTTTGGTAAAAGTAGTCTTGTAATGGTGAGCAAAAGTGAAAATGCCCATGAGCATTTGTTATTTTGCCCATGAGATGAGCAAAATAAAGGATGAATAGTGCTCTGGTGGGCCCCACAATTTGCAATGGTTATATTTTTTGTAATGCAAATTCTGAAATAAATATTTATTAAAAAAAAAAATTAAAAACACCAACGGTCATAAAATTTAATTCTCCATAAATAGACATGCATTTTGGTATATTTTGGTATAATTTCAGAAATACCATAAATCCTCCATATTCTTTATTTTAACGATAAAAACGACACAAATAAAAAAAAAATAAGTTACACAAATTTAGACTAGTTTTTATTTATTTGGAGTAATATTGTTAAAATATAAATGAAATTAATAAATAAAGAAGTGTTGTGTAGGAGAGAGAAAGTAATGGTGGGGTATTGAAAAAGTAAGAGAGAGAGAGAGTAGTGGGCAAGCATTTTTTTTGCTCACCATTGGGACAGAAATTGTGAAAAAATTTGCCCATGGGCAAAACAGATTTGTTGAGAGAGAAAGTGGGTAGAGAGATAGTGGGTGGGCATTTTTTTTTGCTCACCATTGAGAGTGGTCTAAGTAACTACAGTAAGTACTATCAGTTTGTGCTGACGGTTCGGTTTTTGGCTCAAGTTTGAACGGGTTTTGTTTATTTTGGCTCGAGTTCAAACTGTTTCGGATTATTGATACGAATATATATTAATATATGGTTGGCTTGTTATTTCATCTATATTGAAAATAATAGGGTCAATTTCCTTTTAATTTTACACTAGTTTAGGTCCTGTGCATACACGAATAATACTAAGATTTTTTTTTACTTAATTTAAAGATTATCACAATTAAACATTAATGTAATAAATAGACACATAAGTATGTCTTGCATTTTTTATTTAGAGGGGATAAATTTTTAT